CCCACACGTTTGCAGGAGCTGCTGGATGGCGCCTCTGAGGTTGACCTCGCCAAGTTCACCGCCATGTACAACGCCGCCGTACGTTTCTGAGTCGAATGATGTCGACCGTTGTGCGTGCGTGTGTGCGTGCGTGTGTCTGTTTGTGTTGACATGTTCACCAAAATCTCCGACCACCTGAACAGATGGGCAGACAGACAAACACATACACACACAGACACACACACACACACACGCACACACGCACACACACACGCACGCACACACGCACACACGCACAGACACACAGACAGACACACATACACATACACTCTCTGTCTGCCCTTCTGCACTCACTCCTCGCCACTCAAACGCTCTGTCATCCATCTGCAGGAGTCGCCCGACTTTGATGAGGTGCAGGAGGCCTTCAGCACTTTCGACGTGTCCAACAACGGCTACATCCCCCTCAAGGAGCTCATGCACCTCATGAAGACGCTTGGTGAGGGTCTCCCAGACGATGCCCTGCAACAGCTTGCCAAGGAGTGCGACCCGGACGAGGACGACCAGGTCAACTACTCGCTCTTTGTCAAGAAGATGTTCCAGGACCTTTGAGTTGGACGCATGCTCCAACTTTCGTTGTCGTGCTCCGTGTATTGTGTGTGGATGGACGCGAGTGGCTTCTTCGTTAACAGCCCTTGTATGTGTGCATGTGTGGATGTGCAAAACGCTTGTTCGGGTCTTGGTTGTTCCTTTGATCCTGTGTGTCCCACGCAGTGTTGTTTCGTGTTCTGTCTGTTCTTCTTTGCCACTCGCCTGTGCTTTCTTTCTTTCTTTCCTTCTCTTGGCATACAAAACACACACGTGACCAGAAAGAAGAGCAACCAATGATGAACATTCATTCAGGCTTTGCAGGGCGTGTCGTGCCAGCATTCGATTTTTCTTGTGTCGCTTCTTGTGTCGCACATCGACAGCACATGAACAGCACCACCCATCGCCACAACCACTACCACCACCATTGCCAAAGACAAACAGCAAAACAATCACCTGCACACTCGCTTGCTTGCTTGCTTGTTCGCAGAAAGCCACAAGAACAGCGTGCTACAAGCCAAGCGCATCAACACGATGTGGGGGTGGCACAGTGTGAAGTTGACACACAACCGCAAAACCAAACCTTGTTCTCTGTGAGTAGAAACAAACCCGTAACACTACAACCATCACCACAAGCACAGCACACACGCAGAGAAGAAGGCGGGGGGGGGGAGAAGAAACAAAGGAACCCAGGGAGAGGCACAGACACCAAAACAACCAACAAAACAGGTGTTGCGTCCCACATCAGTTGTGGATTTTGACGGCAGCCTCGCCATACCGTGGCACCCGGGTCTGCACGCACGCCACGCAACACACATGTGAATAACAGCTCTTGTGAGCGTGTGTGTGTGTTCATGTTTGTTTACGCATTTGTGTGTACGCTTGTGTGTGTGTGTGTGTGTGTGTGTGTGTGTGTGTGTGTGTGTGTGTGTGTGTGTGTGCGTGTGTGCGTGTGTGTGCGTGTGTGCGTGTATGCTCACCTTATCCACGTGCTCAAATGCGAGCCACTGGTCGTGCATCATGCGCTTCGGCTGCAGTTTTTCGTCTGCAATGCACAGCAAGAGGCGTGAGTGTCAAAACGAGCGAAAGCAATTCCCAACACAACACAACACAACACAACACAACACAACACAACACAACACAACACAACACAACACAACACAACACAACACAACACAACATACACATACACACACCTTCGTCAAGAGGGGTCGCAATGTGTCCTGCGCACAGGTGCGGCTTCCACTGCTCAAACTCCTTGTCGCTGATGTGCAGATACGTCTTCACGCGCTGGCAGAAATCCTTCACCAGCTCATCCTGTTGGGCAAACGCGCACATGCGAGTGTTGGTCGTTAGTTGTTGAAAGCTGAAACGGGCGAATGCAAACAAAATGCCATTGCATGTGCGCTGAGCATGTGGTGACGGTAGCGAGAGTTGACCCACCACACAGACAAACAAACACACACAATAACTTGGGGTCCAAAGGGGGCATCATAAGCAGTACGTACGTCGTGGACGGCAAAGTAGAAGGGATCACCATGCGACGACGCAGGATACTGGGGCGAAAACATGTGCGCATGCATGTGGTACAAGGATGAGCATCATGTCGCAGGACATGCAAGTATACGATTGTGAGAGAGAGAGTGTGTGTGTGTGCGTGTGTGTGAGTGTGTGTGCGTGCGTGGGGAACGGGATGTAACTGTCGTGGTGCTCATGTGTTTGCTGTTTCTTACATGCCAAAAATGCCGGATTTCAAGAAGCGTGGTCGCATCATCCATATTGCGCTGATCCTCAGGAATCAACTGCAACAACCACAACAGTTCGGGTGAGCGCGAATGTGAATGCAAGTGCGTGTATGTTGGCGTGCGCATGTGTGTGCATGTATATGTACGGATATTTCGGTCATCTTATCCGCGTACACGCACAACCACCACCAGCAGCACCAGCAGCACCAGCACCAGAAGTGCGCACCTCCACGCGGAGCATGAGGCGGCGGTGTGAGAGCTCTCCGGCCGTCGTGTCCCGGTCCAGATCCACAAACTCGCTGTGGGCAATTCCAGCTGACCTGCACCGTTAAACGAAAAGGAAGGGGGGGGGAGGTGAGGTGAATACAACGCAACGCAGCTGAAAAGTACAAGGGGACGGACAGACAGACAGACAAGACAAGACAGGCGGGCAAACGTGCACACACGAGGCTAACGTGTGCGGACACACACACACACACACAGAGCGCTTGACACGTGCATGCAGTTGTCCCCTGACCTGATCCACTGCATGTCCTCCTCAGGCACCTCCTTCTCACGCGCAATTTCAGCGACAATATCGGCAACGGGCAAATCCCGGTTCACCGTCTTGGTGACACGATCTGTCTTGCGGTCTGTGGGCGAAAACCACTCGCACGTCACGTTCACCTGCGCAACACAATAGGAGAGGGAATGTTGGTGCACCAAAGCAGAATGGCCCCGGGGGGAGGTCAAGAAGGGAAGCACACATGTAGACAGACAGAACAGACAGACAGACAGACAGACAGAACAGACAGACAGACACAGACACAGACACAGACACAGACACACAGACACGCAGACACGCAGACACAGACACAGACACAGACGCGCGCACACCTCTTGCTCCTTTTCCTGCACGGGTTTGTCGAGCACGACAAAGTTAAGGAACTTGAGTTTGCCGCTGCCCGTGCACATGGAGTCGAGCGTCGCCGTCGTCGTGGACGAAATGGGCGTGCCGTAGTGTTGATCGCTGGGCAAGGCGGTGGGGCAGGTGGGCGTGGAAGTGGAGGCGGGATGAGGAAAAGGGAGTACGACGATGAGTGGGCGTTGTCCTTCAAGCTCCGCCAACCAGCACTTACACACACACACACAGGTACACACACACACACACACACACACACACACACACACACACACACACACACGTTCACGCACATACACACACAGGTACATACACACACACACGTTCGTTCACACGCACACAGGAGTTGCACAATGACTCACTGTCTGCGGTAGAGGCGGATGTGGGACGGGTGCTCAAGCTCAAACTCGGCAGCAATCTTTTCCTGCAACTCCTGGTACGTCAGCATGGCATTGAGGGTCATCACCTGGTGCTGGCCCGCGCCCGTGCGGCCCTGTGCCACCTTCACCACATACTCGTCACAGCGCTTGTGGAACCAGTCCTCCGCGTACGGATACTTGTACTCCTCCTGATTAGCAAACCGAGATGGGAATCAAACGGCGCGCGCGCGCGTGTGTGTGTGTGTGTGAGGGGGGGGGGGTTTGCACGCGAGAAGGGGTGAGGGCGACGGGAAGGTCATAAACATGCATGTGTGTGTGTGTGCTTTGTGTGTGCTTTGTGTGTGCTTTGTGTGTGCTTTGTGTGTGCTTTGTGTGTGCTTTGTGTGTGCTTTGTGTGTGTGTGTGTGTGTGTGTGTGTGTGTGTGTGTGTGTGTGTGTGTGTGTGTGCTAGCACACTGCAGCAGCTCCTACCGTGTCGAGGGGCTTTGCCTGGAAAATGAGGAGGGCGCCGTGGTCGAGGCGGTAGTCTGCTGCAGTCTTCTCCGGCGCCAGCAGTGGGATGCGCGTCGCTTGCGGTCTGGCGGTGGCAGAGCAAGGCATACATCATGGACCGGGGGGGGGGGGGGTTGGGTTGGGTTGAGGGAGAGGGGTGTGAACACCATGAATGCTGGAGCGTCAATGCGCACGCCATCGTCACCAACCCTCAAAGCAAACAAACAAACAAACAAACCCCAACAGCAGCGGCACGTGTGCAAATTCGTTTGCGCAGGGGCACTCACGTCTCGGAATCGAAGAATTCCTCCAAGAAGAGGAGGCATTCGCGGTCTGGGGACACGCCGGCGAGGGGGCGGCACGCGTCGACAATTTGCTCTGCGATGCCACCATTGTTGGTTGGTTTGGGGGGGTTGGAGATTGCGTGTGTGTGTGTGTGTGTGTGTGTGTGTGTGTGTGTGTGTGTGTGTGTGTGTGTGTGTGTGTGTGTGTGTGTGTGTGTGTGTGTGTGTGTGTGTGTGTGTGTGTGTGTGTGTGTGTGTGTGTGTGTGCGTGTGCGGGAACACGAGCGCGAGATTGTGGGTGTGTGCAAGAGCGCGCGAGGGAATGAAGGCAGAAGACAAGCGGGTCGCAACATAGTGAAGGATCGCCACGCATATTCACCACACACCACACACACACACACACACACACACACACACACACACACACACACACAAATCAAACACGCACACCAAACGCACCAAACACACATACACATACACATGCATGCTGCACTTACGCATTGTGGTTGCGGAGCAGATGTGTAGTCTCTTGAGGTGGCGGAGGCGGCCCTTGTAAATGTCAAAGTGCTTCACAAACACCAAAATGTCTGATTTGGGCACATACTCGTCCGAGTCCTCGTCGTCCGAGGCGTGGCTGTCATCCGGCAGCAGGCCCCGCATCCGCCCAGCCTCAGCCCCCTGTGCGTTCTTGTCCTGCGTCTTCGGCGTCTCCTCCGAGCTCGCCTCACCCTTGTCCTTGTCCTTGTCCTTGTCGTCGTCGGTTGTTGGTGCTCCCTCCACCGCAGGCTGCTGGTCGTCAGCGCCCACGTCCATCGCTGAACCTGCAGCGAGCAGGGGCAGGCGTCGCGCACACGTGTGTGAGGGGTTACGCGCGCATGCGAATTTGCTCATTTCTGCGCACGATTGTGTCGTGTGACAAGCAAGTGCATGCATGCATCGCACGTTGTGCGCACGGAATAAGGTCGCCACCACCACTGTGAAACTAGACGTACAGAGCTCGTGCTGGCGCTGCTCGTCTGTCTCGGAGTAGTACTCGACATACAAGCGGGTAAAGCCCCGGTCCTTTGTGAGCTGTTGTGTGTGTGTGTGTGCGTGTGAAGGAGAGGCGAGGAGGGAGAGAGAAAGAGCAACAGGCAGACACGAGAAGCTAGCCGCTGCGAATGCCAGCGCCCAGCGACATTCGACCAGGAGTGGCACAACAAATCATCATTGGAAAACAGCACAACACTTTTCCATGCGAGCAGGCCCACACACATCACGCAGCACCACCTTCATGTCGTATTTGAAGAGGAGCTGCTGCCAGCTCAGCTCGCACTCCTCGTCGGAGAGCCGGCCAATCACCCGCATGCCCTGACGGCCAATGCTGCGCATGAGCCACAGCCGCAGCCGATCCACACGGACGTTCATCTGCTCAGCCTTCTCCTCCAGCTGAAGTGACGGTGGTGGTGGCGGTGGCGGTGATGATGGCGGTGGCAGTGATGGTGGTGGTTTGTTGTTGTTCTTGTGAGCGCGAGACATGAAATGTGACACTCAAGGGCGACACAAAAAATACGAACAAAACACGACAAGTGAGCAAACAGCCCAGTCGGTAATGATGGCACCGTGCCACCACGCTCACCAGGGCGCGAGGGGTGTACGACTCGTGGATGCGCTCAATCTCGCCAACGCCCGGCGCAACCCGGATCAGGTCCACGTCCGCGTGTGCATCAAACAGCTCATCGGGATAAATCTGGTGTTGACCGTGCATGAATCATTGAACATGATGGAATGCAGCAGTGGTGGGGTGAGAGGGTGGGGGCGGGGGTGGCGATAGCGGTGTGAGGGGACACGGCTGTTGCAGTGAAGAGATGCCAGCAACAACAAAGCCAGGCGCGATGGTGTGTGTGTGTGTGTGTGTCACGAGTGTGGCGGCAATGCGACCAACCTTGAATTTGATCTTTTCGCGGTTGAAGAGGCGTTCTTCCTCGAGCCTGCGGCGCTCGGCTTCCTCGCCCTCAAACCTGACGCAAGGCACGTAATGTGCACAAGATGAGCACATGCGGCTCATGGAGTGCGACGCCCATAAAGAAAGCACACACACACACACACACACACAGACATCCACACACACACACACACACACACACACACACACACACACACACACACACACACACACACACACACACACACAGAGACACAGGGAGAGGCACCTGTCGCGGAGGGCTGGCGGGATTTCGTCGTCTGCCATCGGTTTCAGCACCTCGTCCTTAACGTCGTCGCGCACATACACAAGCATGTACGCGTTGCCGCCGCCACGGTGGTATGCACCGGCCTGGCAATCCCAAATTAGAGCCAACGCACAGCCACAACAAACGAGCAACGCACAGCCAACAACAGGGCATCGTGGCGCGGTGAGGGGTGGCGTGAGCGAAGACACAACAATCTTCACCACACATTTCCCAACGGAGATAAGCGCGTCTTTGGAACAAGCACATGCCAAGCCATCAACCAGTGGCTTTCTACTCAATGGCACATTCATTTTTCTTCCCCACCCCTGTCCCTACGCTGCCCACCACCACCACCACCACCACCACCACCACCATCACCATCACCACCACCACCGTTGCCGCACCGCTGAGCCAAAGTTGTCCTCGATGGCCTTGTTCGCGGGCGTGCGGTACACCAGCTCGTCGTCAAAGTGGTACCAGCGGCCGTCGGCCTCCGGGCTGATAAACGCCGTGTAGTGCCCGCCATATGTCGTGCCAGAGTGCACCAGCACCGCCTGCAGCGTAAACTTGGCCGGCGACGACGACGGGTCCTCGAGAAAATCGCTCAGGTCAATGTGCGGCGGAAACTCAAACCTGCAACACACGGTGGGGTATGGCGTGTTGTTTTGCGTTGTGTGTTGTGGTGGGATGTGTTGCGTTGTGCGTTGGGTCGTATATGGGGCGTGCGGCGTGTTGTATTGCGTTATCATGAGCATGTGTGTGCGCATGTACGGCTGAACGAAGTGCAGAGGTACGAACAAGCGCATGCCCAAAACGACTCAGTTCAACCCCATGTTGCACTACCACCACCACCACCAGCAGCAGCAGCGCCCCCTCCACCACAGGGCACATGTGGAGTGCACCTGTCGTTGATCTTGTGGTAGTCGTCGTAGAGGAACGAGTAGGCGAACCGCTTCAGCTGCAGGTGCAGCACCGGCGGGAACGACTGGAAGATGACGCCTTTCTTCGCGTCCTGTCGCCAGCAAGCAGCGAGGGTGAATGGGTGCATATGTGTGCGTGAGTATGCGAGTGAGCAAGAAATAGAGAGAGTGTGTGTGTGTGCGCGCATGTGTGAGAGTGTGTGTGCCATTGTGTGCGAATGCGTCATTGTGTGCGAGTGTGGTGGCAGACGATAAGGCACACTTTGCTGCCCAAACATGCACAATCACGGGGACCAACGCGTCACATCACATGGCATCCGTACAGCCAGCACGTGGTCCATACCTGCAGGCCGTGGCCCTCGGCCCTGTATTGGTTGTCCCCTTCGAGCGTCTCCACGTTGACGTAATCCTTGAACGAGTCCTGCAGTGACGCAATGTCCTTCACGTTCAGCTGAATGTCGTAAAAGTCCTCCTCGCGCGATGACTGCAGCCGGTGAAGACAGCGAGTGCATGTTGATGTGTGCATGTGCAAATACAAGCACGTGTTTGCGTGTGCGTGTGTGTATCCGTGAGACATCAGAGAAGCGGAAGCATGAGGCGGAGCGAAATTAAATGTGCCTCTGCGTGTGTGTGTGTGTGCTTGTGTTTGTTAGACAGACAAACAGAGGAGCAGATATGGCGTCATAAGCATGGACACTGTCACTACACTGACACGTCAGGCAATCGTGTCACGCCACCCCCGCACCTCAAAGTCGACGTTGATGCAGCGGACATACGACTTCATGCGACCGGCAAAGAGTTTCTTCACCGTCTCCTCCACGGGGGTGCCCTTCATCTTCTCCTCAAGATTGTCCATCAGCACGCGGCTAAACTCTTGCACGTCGTGCTGTGTGTGTGTGTGTGTTCATGTGAGGCCGAGGTACTGTGCAACAAAGACAGCAGTCAAATGGCGCAGTAAGATGCGCACCATCCAGCTGTGCCGTGAGTGGTGGCCAGCATGGGCTGCTCACCTGCATGAAGGCGTCGCGGGTGTCCCAGCCAAACGATTTCGTCAGCTCTGTTGTCGACACTTCGTGGTCTTGCGTTTGCAGTCGGTAGAACACGCGCTGGCGGTGGCCACGTTGCAAGTTGTTGTTTAGGTTGTTGTTGTTGTTGTTGTTGTTGTTGTTGTTTAGGTTGTTGTTGTTGTTGTTGTTGTTGTTGTTTAGGTTGTTGTTGTTGTTGTTGTTGTTGTTGTTGTTGTTGTTGTTGTTGTTGTTGTTGAAGAAAAACAAGAAGCAGGGGTGAGCGTCCGGGAACGAGAACAAACCAATGGGACCAGCAAGGGCAGGAGGCTGTGGAGTCGACTGCTACTCCCATTGCACTCATGCCTGCACCAACCCAAGCAGTCAAGTTCATGTGGTACTGCATGCCTCACCTGCAGGGCAAGGGCGACGCCCGTGTCGGCGGAGTCGTTTGCTGTCGGCATCGTGTACACGGCGCGGCGCAGCGCGGGCGTGTGGTACAGCGCCTGAAGCAGCGAGTTCATGTAGCACGTGGCGCCTGGCGTCGTGTTGTGGCGGGTTGGTTGGTATTGCAGTGTTGTGGTGGCAGTGGTGTGGCGATCAGTCGAGCGCAGTGAGCAGCAAGGAATGTAACCAACAGCCAGATGTTGAGGAGACGCATCAGCGTGCACTGCACCACAGATTATCACACAATCAAATGTCACGCACGCATGCACACGCACGCACACATATCCAAACGCACACACACACACACATATCACACGCACCTTGGTTTGCGAGGCCCACCATGCCCGTTGTCTTCTTGGTATCGTGGACAGCCTGGGCACCAAAGAGGTTGAAATCGTAACCAGCGAGTACCTCAATGTCCAACCTGAAAGGACAATGACGACGTGTGCGTGTGTTTGTGGAAACAGACATGTTAGGACATGCATGCTCAAGCGTGTGTATGTTCATTTTCACACACACACACACACATGCACACACGCACACACGCATGCACAAATGCACACGTTTCCCAAAAGGAAGGGGAGGTGCTGCACACACCTGACGGTGACAGTGTCATCTTTGATAAATCCGTAGTCCCGCAGCATCTGCAATGTCAGCATGCGTGTCCCGACCATGAGCATCGTGCTACAGCAGACACGCAGACGTGTAGCACAGAGAGAGAGAGAGAGAGACAGGCAGACACGCGAACACACATATACACACAGATACAAAGCACACACACACGCGCGCGCACAAACGCGTACAAACACACACTATCAGCACTGCGACACGCATGTTCGTGTGCACCAACCGGGTGTGTGACGAAGCGTGGATAGCCATAGTTTGTGTTGACGTCTGAAAAGCAATGTGTGATGCCTGTACAGCAACAGAGCGGAACACACAAACACAGAGAGGAAGGACGCAGCATGTGAGGTGCACATCCACAGCATTGCATGTGCGTGCACGCGCCCCTTCAGGCGACCACAAGTGTGGCGCTCATGGTTTCCGCCCTCATCACCATCACCACCACCATCACCACCACCACCATCACCATCATCATCATCATCATCATCATCATCATCATCATCATCATCATCAATATCACCACCATCATCATCATCACCACCACCACCACAGCTCACATTTTGAGACGCGGTACTCGGGCTTGCTGCCGACGGCGGTGAAGAGGATGTTGGCGAAGACCTTGTGGGAGTCTTCTGGGCCCTTGACTAGCTCCGCATACACGGACAGCTCGTTGGGACTCTTGTCGCCCGCTGAAGTATTTGGGAGAGAGAAGAGGGGAAGGGAGGATGATTGTTGGGGGGGGGATGAGGGAAGCAAGCCGCAGCGATGCCACTACAGGACACTGGAACACCCAGACGTGGGATGTGCAGTGGTGGGCACTTGGCGCAGTCCAACATGTGTATGCAAGCACGAGCGTGTACGCAACCTATCGAACGACATTTTGACATTCATCCACAACAAAACAAGACGACACACATACACACACACACACAAACACAACACAAACGACGACGACGACGACGACGACGACACACACACACACACACACACACACACACAGACTCACACGCTCACACACACACAGACTCACACAGACTCACTCTCACACACACACAAACACAACACCAATGACGGCGACGACGACGACGACACACACACACACACACTCTCTCTCTCTCTCTCACAGACTCACACTCACACACTCACACACACTCACACACACACCTGGGAAGACCAGCAGCGTCCACTCGGTGTCGCCGAGGATCAGGTGCTCCTCATTGGGCATGGTTGCGCTTGTGTGGAACTTGTAGGAGGTGAAGTTGCGAATGACAAAGTCCTTGCTACCTTTGTGCAACACCGTGTCAAAGTGTGTCTTGAGTTCTTCCTGCTCAAAGGTGGGTTGCGCGGGGTTCTTCCCTGGGGGTGTGCCCAGGAGGCCAGTCGACGGCGACGACACAGGGTCGTCCTGGCTCTCATTTTCTTGATCCATGGCGTTGCTGTCCCAGTTCTGTGTGGTGTCCTCCATCTCGGGCGGCTCCGTTGGGTTGTTCGACAAATCCATTGTGGTTGTGCCTCACTCACTCCACGAGGGCCTGTTGCTATCTCTCTCTGTCTCTCACACACACTCTCTCTGACTGTCACATGCACCAGAGACGCCAGTGATTGCAAGGACCACGGCGGCAACACAGAGACAAACCAACAGCGACAACAACAGCGACGGCGTGACAAGGGTCCGCCAGCACAAAACCAGAAACCAGCGAAAGCAGCAGCAGTGGCAAAGTGGCGAGTGTGAGCGAGCGACAGCACGCAAACAGTCGTGTGAGTGGTGCTGGTGCTGTTGTTGAGGCGTGTATGCCGCAACGCCAGTGGCGGCGCCGTTGCAAGCAAAGAATGCCAAGCATGCCGCTTAGGTTGAACCATGGACAGCGATGATGATGTGATGACCCCGACACAAGAACCACAAGAACGGGATCGACACATACGAGAGAGAGAGAGAGGCCAAGGAATAGCGATGGTGGAAACCGTCAAAACCCCTTCAACATGCGCGTGTCTGGAATCAACAGCCAGCAAACAAGACCTTACCGCCTTTGAGGGTGCTGTCCTTGTGCTTGTCTCTTGTCGACGCACCAATGTCCAGCTACCAGCCTCTCGTTCACTCGCTGACTGGGTCTTTGTGGCTTGGCTCTCCTTCTGCTGCTGCTGGAACCACCACCACCCTTTCCCTTTTCGTCAACAGTCGCTGACTTGTCTTGCTGCTGTGTCTGCGGCTGTTGGCGCAAAACCAAACAAAAAAATAAAATTGGTGGACACGGAATATTACCCATATCTTCAAAGATTGCGCGCGGTGTGTTGTGTGCCTTGAGTTGTGTGTGTGCCTTGTTGAGGTGTGTGTGTGTGTCTGTGTGTCTGTGTGTCTGTGTGTGTGTGTGTGTGTCTGTCTGTGTGTGTGTCTGTGTCTGTGTGTCTGTGTGTGCATGTGCGCGCGCCCCTCTCTCACTCACACGCACACTCACTCACGCACTCACACACACGCACACTCACTCACACGCTCTCTCACTCACACGCTCACTCACTCACGCACTCACACACGCACCCCTTCTCTGTGCGTCACGTCGTGAAGCAGGCAAAGTCTCATTTACATCCACACAGTAGTCGTGGAAGAATACAAAGCACAGCAAATCAAAGGGAATGGGTGTCAATAACACAGAGCAGCAGCAGCAGCAGCAAATCAATTGAGAACCAAGACAAGCATGAAGCAAAAGCAGCCAATGAAAGGTAAAAGTGTGCATACGAACAAGTCCAGCTGCCAGGTGATGATGAAAAAGATATACGCTAGGACGAGGAGGTCATGTGATCGTGATGAAGGAGGACCATGCCTGCACGCGCCACACACTGTACACCCAAGCGCACGGGCCACGCTGCACAAAGGCACTGCACACATGCACACACTACAGGCTACAACTCACACGCACACGCATACACACATACGGCACGCTACACAAAACACACACAAAACACACACACACACACACTTTACATTCCACGCACACATACACAACACCACAATGGCACGAGTTTGTCTCAGACAACAAGAATGCTCTCCTTGCTCCGCTTGGGAGCCTGCAGTCGCGGTGGCGGTGCGCGTGCATTGCGGTGTCCAGGGCTCCTGGCATCACCAGCACCACTGCCGCCGCCGCTGCTGCCGCTCTGATTCTTGGCGGCTGCCACTGCCTTCTTCTTTCCCCTGTTGCCGTTTGGCGATGCGCGCTTCTTTCCAAGACCGTGAGCACCGGGGGAAGTGTGCTGCTGCTGCTGCTGCTGCTGCTGCTGCTGCTTCGGTGGAGACACACCACGACCACGACCACCACCGCTACCACCACCGCGTTTCCTCACGGGGGACGGACCGTCCCCCATACGTCGTCGCAATCGCCCTGGCGACACCTGCTGTTGCTGCTTCGGTGGAGGCTTTGCTTGTTTGTGCTGCAATGACGACGACGGCGACTTTGACAATGGTGCGGGCTGTTGCTGCTTCTGCTGTTGAAGGAGCTGTTGCTGCTGCTGGATGATGAGTTGCTGCTGTTGCAAGAGAAGGTGCTGCTGGGACGGCGACGACGACATGAGCGCCGGCAGCGACAGGCTCTGGCCCGTCGAGCGCCGCGACCGCAGCTGGTCGTTCTGCAAATCCTCCGCAGAGAAGTTGGTTTCCCGCCGCGTCAGCCCACCGTCATCGTCAAACGCCATCAGCCCAAGCTTCCCCTTGGACAGGCGAGGAGCATGCTTGCTTCCACCACCTCTTCCACCCCTACCCCTACCCCTTCCTCTTCCTCTGCCCCTTCCTCTTCCTCTCCCGGCTGCACCACCCTTCTTCCCATCATGCTGCTGCTGTGGATCGGCGCGCAGCCTGTGCTTCATCTCCTCTCTTTCCAGCGCCTGTTCGTGTGCATCGTCGATGTCACGCATGAACGCCGTGTACTCCTCCTCCCCCGGCGCTGAGGCCTTGGACGACGTCGTGACTGCAGACGCTGCCGTGTCGCCCAAGGTGCCCTCTTCGCCATATGACGGGTGCAGTGCTGATGGCGACAGCACGCGCGTCTGTGAGCGCTCCAGGCCGCCGTGTTTCTGCTCGTCAAACGCTTCCTCAATCTCGCTCTCCTCCCGCTGCTGCTGCTGCTGCTGCTGCTTGTTGTTGTGCTGCTGCTGGTGGTGGTGGTTGTTGTGTAGCTGGTTTTGTTTGTTGCTTGGCGGTGAGGAAGCGGGGACGGGGCGGGTTTCTCCGTCGTGTGTTGTCAGCATGACTTGCGGCTGCGTGGCGTGACCAGCGTCTCCAGTGCTGTGGTTGTGGCTGTGGCGATGGTCGCCGCTACTGTTGTCGTTTTCTGCTTTGCTGCCTTGCTCGTGGCTGTGTTGTGTGTGCTTGTGGGCGTGCTTGTGGGCGTGATGCCCCTTGGTGCGGACATATATTGCCTTTGGCCCTGGTGGTTGAGCCTGCCGCCCATCTGGCCGTGCGCTCGTTCGCACGCGCTGACCCACAGACCCGCCGCGCACAATGTACTTGCCCAGCAACCGCATCAGAAACAACACCTGCACACGCATTGCGCGATTGGTTGTGTGTTTGTATGTGTGTGTGCGTGCGTGTGTGTGTTTGTTAGTGTGTGTGTTTGTTAGTGTGTGTGTATGTGTATGTGTGTGTGTGTTGTGTTGTGTGTGTGTTGCGTGTGTGTGTGTGTGTGTGTGTTGCGTGTGTGTGTGAATGAGGCGCGACGTGACTTGGCAATGTGGACTGCAACATATTGCTGGAGTTCTGGAGCGATGAATCAAGTTGCTTTTCAACCTGCGATGGTTGTGATTTCATGTCACCGCAACACAAACAGGTGACGCTATTTGTCGCACCTTGAGCTGCTCCTCAACGTCAAGCGTGCGGGCGTTGCCGTAAACGAACATCTCCGTGTTGCCAAACACGCGAAGGTCTTCCAGAGCATTGAGCGCGCTTGCAGGCACCTGTGTGTCCTTGAGATGCACGTGAATCCTCTGCGCCAAGGGGAGGGGCTCCTCGTAGTCACCACCTTTGGTAATGTCTGCACACGCACGAGCACACACACACACACACACACACACACACACACACACACACATCAACACACATACACATACACACACACAGAGGAGGAAGTGCAAGCACGCACCAAGTCAGATAACAACTGCACACTGTTCCATGCAATTCAACAAGCAGCGTAGTTGAGCGTGCAGGGCTTACCTTCCAGGAAGCGGTACTCTGGGAGGAACTTGAGCATGAGGAACGACGACGCTGCACAGGCAAACTTGCGGCCGCAAACACCAACCATGGTGGGCAGCTTCCCCACATGCTCTGCACGCATGCATGGCGCATGTGCGTGCGTTGTATGCGGTGTTGTTACATTGGTGTTGCTGTTATAATGGTGACGGTGAGAAAACATACATGCGCATTATGTGGTGTGCTGCGTTGTGGTGTGGCGGCAAGCAAGGCTTTGCCTGCACGACCTTGACAACTCAGAGAGCACACACACACACACACACAAACAGAACAATGGCCACAATGTCGTGATGAGAAAAGCTGTCGGTTTGTGGCAAAGGCACGGCGCGCACCTTTCGCTTGCTGCATGCACAAGCCCATGATGAACATGAGGTCATTTCGTGCAGAGGTGAGCGTGCGTGCAAGCCCGTCAAAGTCCCGTTCATGTGGGATGTCCACCGCCACCGCCGCTGCAGAGGTGGTGGTCGCGGGCTCCATGGCTTGCTTGTTGTTTGCCTTTGTTGTTGTTGTTGTGCTTGTTGTTTGGGTGACAATGCATTTTGTGCTGTCGCCATGAGCATGTGATGTGCCGCTGGCGGCTGGCTGGCAGCATCCGCCTTTCTTTCTTTCATGTCATTGTGCATGACAAGCAGAAGCAATGTGTACTGCGGCTAACAGCAACAACAACAGCAGCAACAACAGCAGGAGCAGCAGCTCGCAGCATGACGCCATTGCGTCAAATGGTGCAGATCAGATCTAACAATGTCAGCAGCTGGGGAAAAAAGAAACAAAACCTGGTGGACGACGACAGAAAACGAAACACACATGGCACACGCACACGCAAGTGACACGGCACAGCAGGCAGTTTCTTACATCACCCGATATGGCAGCACGTCACGTCACTCAAACTCCTCCAGAATCTCTGGCGCGTAGAAGGTGCGCAGCGGCATCTGCGAGTCAAACATGGGCTCGTCCATATCGTAGTGGATGCGGAGGTGCGGGTACGACACGCGCGCACGCGCAATCACGGAGCGGGAGATCTGCGAGCTGCTCGACACAGACACCGTGCGCAGGCTCTTGCACGTGGACAACACGTGCTCAAACGCAGAATTGGTGATGTTGGGCAGCCCAAAGAGGTGCAGGGTGCGCAGCTTCTTGCACCCCGTGCCAATGAGCTGCAGCGACCGGTCCGTGAGTTGGTCGCAGTAGGCAATCGACAGCCACTCCAGCCGCTGGCAGCCGTACGCCAGCTCCTTGAACGCGTCGTCGCTGATGCTCGTGCACCCGGCAAGGCACAGGTGCCGCAGCAGCGGGCTTGAGAACGCCAGCGCCTCAAGCCCTTGGTCCGTCAGCGCAGTGCACTCGGTCAGGTCCAGCCATTCGAGTGTGGTGATGTCGCTTGCCTGCAGCGCCTGAAGCGTGCCGTCGCCAACGTTGTCGCACCCGGCCAGGTTCAGCTCGGAGAGCCGGCCCGTGTGCGTGATGAGCACGCCCAGGCTGCCGTCCGTCACGTTGGTGCAGTAGCTCAGGTCCAGGTGGTATGCGTTTGCAACACCGCGGCCAAAGTGGCGAATGCCCGTGTCGGTGATGCGCGGCAGGGAGGACAGCTTGACGACTTGAAGGGAGGAGCGCGCAGGGCCTGATTGGGCAATAGTCTTCAGCGCGCTGTCGGTGAGCCCGGCGCACTCGGACAAGTCGAGGTAGGAGAGGTGCTGCTGTGCAAGGCCAACAGTGGCGCCGTCACGCACGCGCGGGCAGTCGTTGATCACCACATGTGACAGTTTCTAGAGGATGTCAACGATGGCAGCGAAAGGGGCGGGGGGTTGGCGGATGAGGAATGTGTGTTATCGAGTGAATGTGTGGAGTGTAAGAAGAAAGGGACGAGCACGAGTGACCCAACATGCATGTGGACAACAACAAGTTGCGCTCAAGCAACGCACGTACTCCGCTGTGACACACACACACACACACACACACATATATATATATATGCACACACACATGCACGAACAGGGAACAAAACACCCCCCTCCCCCGTCTTCTTGTCGAAAACGTACAGTGCGTAAGCAGAGGCCCGTGATGCCCTCTGAGGTGACGCGGGCGTTTGCTGTGAGCTCAATGTGAGACAGACACGTGCAGTGTTTGCCAATCATCGTCAGGCCTTCGTCCGTCACTTGCGGGCACGCGCGCAGGCTGTGAGGTTGTCGTGTGGTGGTACGTGCGGCGAGAGATGAGTGAGAGGAGTGAGGTAAGTTGGATAACGTGGTGCAATGTTTCCAGTTCGGTTGGGATGTGATGTGATATGTGTGTGTGTGTGTGTGAAAGTGTGTGTGTGTGTGATGGAGATGAAAACACAGAGCAGCATCACAATCGTTGCACCTGAGCTGGGTGATATATGGGCAACTTTGAACAAGGTCACCGAGGCCTGCAAGTAAACAGCGTGGGTAGCGGGTGAGTGGAGAGACGGGAGGGTCAGAATAGAGCAACATCTTGTGAGAAGGAGAAGGAGAAGGAGAAGGAGAAGGAGGTGCATTTCGAGCACGCACACAATAACATCACAGCAACAAGTACAACAACTACAACAGCAGCAATAACAGCAATAGAACAACAACAGCAGCAGCAGCAGCAGCAGCAGCAGCAGCAGCAAAAACATCACCTGCGTCTGTCATGCGGGAGAGGTCGTTGAGAAGAACAGTGGAGAGATTTGTGCACTTGGCGCCAATACTGGCAAGACCAACATCGCCCAGCTGTGGACAGCAGCTCAGATCCTGGCGTTGCCCCACATGTTGGGAATGGGGTGAGTAGAGCACTGGCGAGTGCACGCAACACAAGACCTCAACTTGACCGTCCTCAGTAGGTACACACACACGCACACACGCACGCACGCACGCACGCACACACACACACACACACATACACACACACGCACGCACACACACACACGCACGCACGCACACACACACACACACGACTGGGGTTCTCACCAGCCAGAAAAGGCTTTGGCAGCCGCTGCCTTCTGTGAGATACATGCAGCCTGCGTCCGTGATGTTTTCGCAACACGCCAGGCTGAAGAGTCATGCAGTTTCATACAACGTGATGCAATGGCATGCAATAAGCGTGTGGTGTCATCAAGTGGGGTAGGGTGTGATGGCCATCAGGGCTGACGCGAGAGCGCCTGTTTGTACAATGTCCTCCAGGTGTGGTGCGTGTGTGGGGGGGGAGCAGGCGGGGTCACGACCACCGTGCGTTACACAACGATGTCGCAAGCCGCAGATATCAAACACACGAGCAGCGATGCCTGCAGGCACGCACGGAGCAGCAACGACCCGAGAGAACCGGGTTACCTGAGATACGAGAGGTTGACGCAGTGTTTGGAGAGGTACTTGAGGGAGAGGTCTGTGATGCCACAGCAGGCGAGATTGAGGTAGATGAGTGCCGGACAGCCCTCAACAATCGCCTTGATCGCCGCATCCTGCGTGTGTGTATGTGTGTGTGTGTGAGAGAGAGTGAGAGAGTGTGTGAGTGAGTGAGTGAGTGTGAGTGAGAGAGAGAGAGAGTGTGTGTGTGTGTGTGTGTGTGTGAGGAAGGGGGAGGCCGATCAATGACAGGGTGATTTGATCGCATCAAGTGGCTAGCGATGCCTGCGTGAGCAATTCAACAACCACCACAAAGACATACGCATACGTACACGCATGCACAAATACACACAGCCAGACAGACATACATACACATACACCCACGCACAAATGGTTGAACTCACGCGAAGAATGCAACAGTCGGAGAGGTTGAGGTCCTGCAAGTTGTGGCACTGGCCAAGCTGGCTGAATCCAACGTTGGTCACGCTGCTGCACCCGCGCATGTTCACCTTGCAGATGAACGTCTTGTACTTATCGACAATCTGACTCACAGCCTCGTCCGAGCACGAGGCTCCGAGTTCGGAGAAGAGCACGCTGCCCCACAGCGACGCGTCCTGCGCCACTTCTCGCCACGTCCGGCACACCATCGCGCACCGCATTCGGTCAAGGATGCCGACGTGTGACAAGATCTGTGTTTGTGGTTGTGTACACATATGTGTGTGAATGTGCGAATGTGCAAATGTGTGTGTGTGTGTGTCAGCGTGAGTGTTACGTGTATGTGTGATCATGTGCGGTTGGTGTAAATGTGTGAGCGGGCGCTCGCGTCCTGATTCAACACGTCGCCACAGGCCGCGCACCTTTACTCTGATGTCATACGGAAGAGCGGAGAAGTGGTCCGTTTCCTGCGCGAGTGTGTCCCGAGGTTGCTCCTGCGTCTTCGAAATGTTCTGTTGGTGCGCACAATGACGATGATGATGTGCGTTGAAGTTGGTTGTTGATTCCACTCGCGGATGAATGTGCGTGTATGTGTGTATTTGAATTGAAATTATGATTGCTCAACATGCTCATTGCTCACAAAGCCGTCCACAACCACATATCCGCACACACACATATCTGCACACACCTTGAAGTATTGGGATGCGAGCTTTGACTGTGCTGCGTATTCTCGCCAGGCGCTGAAGACAACACGGACAAGATTGTCTTTTCGTCGCCCGCGCATGCGCGTAATCACTTGCCGTCGCTTCTCCTGCGCGGGCATGTGTGTGCGTGTGTGTGCATATGTGTGTGTGTGTGTGTGGGGGGGGGTGTTTGTGTTAATAGGTTGAGCGAACACACCGTCGCGCCATTCATGTTGTGATGCCACAAGTTGATGGACAAGGAGGTGCAAAATCGTGCGTGTAACCCCCCACCCACGGCACACACATATACACATGCAAACGTATGTGTACAGCAACACGCATCATGACAGCATGTGCACACCTGCATGTCGTTCTTGAACTGCACCCACGGCTTGATGTATCGCTTCAACAACGATCGACTGTGCGTGCGTGTGTGCGTGCGTGCGTGTGTGTGTGTGTGCGCGTGTGCGTGTAACCATGTGGGTGGACCAAGATTGACAAATGCAAGCGAGGTACATGAGTGTCTTCTACGTGTAATCCAGACACACACACACACACGTGCCCGCGAGCGAATCGTTAGGATGTGCATTACAGCGGGTTGCATTACGCACTGGTAGTGCTCGAGGGCCATGTCGAGTCGGCGATACAGCTCTGCTTTGAGACGAAGACGCATCTTGTACCACTCAACCCAAGATCTGCGTAGCAGCGCAAAGCACAGAGGTGCGCCGATGGCGGCGGTGGATTGTGCCATGAGGGGATGAAAGTTGGACTCAAAAGCAAGTTATTGCATTCCAAAGGTGATACGAACAGTCAAAAAGGTGATGCGACCAGTCGTACAACACGCAAGTCAAACGAGCACACGACCAAACTCACTTGACAACTGGCCCCAAAATCCTCTTTGTGTTGAACGCATAGGCCTTCTGGTACATTTCCGGAGTTGGCTGGTTGCAGCACGTGTGCGGGTGGCAGGTGATGAGTGAGCTATGGAAAAATACGGCAAGCAGCAGGCAAACATGCATTCACACGGCAGGCAAACAGGCATTCACAAATAAGCACACAAGCACACACACAAGCACACACACAAGCACACACACAAGCACACACACACACCCATCATCATGCTCACGCAACACCCGCGTAGCAACCTGCACACAAACTCCCGCCGCACACCTACTCTGTCATCGTCTTCGTCGCCGCGTGTCATCCAATATGGTAAGGGCCGGTGCGGGGGTCGCTTGTGTGGCGGTACAAACATATCCCTGCATTCATCATGACCACAAAGTTGTAAGACAATGCAAGGGCAGAGGGCTGTAGACTGCGTGCTCTCCTTGCGAAGCGTCGCACATGCCTGTCCGTCTTCCATATGCTCTCGCGGGTGCAGCTGCCCACAGGCATACAAACACACACACACATACACACACACACACACGTGCGCACACACTCACACGAACACACACGAACACACACACACACACATGCAGACACACACACACGTGCAGACACACAAGCATGTACATGCATCCAGAGCTAACTCACCATGTGACGACGCCGTCAAAGTCTCGCAATCTTCGCAGCATGGCCAGCAGCTGCTGCTTGTGGTTCTCGGGCCGGTCAACCGCAATACACGTTACCATTGCCTGTGCGAAAGAAGACACAACCTGGTTGAGTGCACAACGCACTGTTGCGTGCACACGCACACACATGCACACGCGCACTCGCTCACTCACTCCGCGCGCACACACGTTCACGACCATGTACACACCTCAAACTTGGTAAAGAGGTTGTGCGTCACAAAGTACTTTTTCATCTCCCCTTGACGCTCTCGCTGCTGCCGCTCTGCATCCATGAGAGCCTCTTTCATGTTGATGTCCTGCCATCATTCGCCAAGAAGAGCAAGTGCACGAACGATAAGCAAGACACGGAGCACGGACGATGGGCTTCAGGCAAGGGCAGCAAAACGACCATGTTAAAGCAGCAGCACCAGCAACAGCAGCACCAGCAACGTAGCCCATATCATCGCTGACACAAAAGCAGGGGATGTTCGCATACGCTGCAGAGCGCAACACCCAGACCTCTTGATGTGTGTCTGCGCCAGAGATGAGGTGGGCGGTGGAGTAGTTGTGCTGTTGTCGCTTTGGCGTGTGCAGCTCCCGTTTCCTGCGGGCGCGTGCTGCAAGCGACCGGCCTTCCAACAGCTGCTTTGCTGGTGCCAGTGGCGAAAGAGCAGCGGGAGCCGACTGCCGCGGAAGCTGTTGTTGGTGGTGGTGCGGATGGGATCGGTGCCGGTGGTGGACTTGGCGTGGCTGGTGTGGCCGGTGTGGAGAGTGACTGTGGGATTGTGGCAGAGCAGACGACGAGGAGAGGGGCGACCCTTGATAACCGGCGCTGGTGATATGACTGTGGCTGTTGTTGGTGGTGGATGTGGTAGACGTGGTGGAGGCTGGTGCTGCGACTGACAATGAAGCCAGCTGCTCAGCAGCCCGTTCCACAGCCTGCCCCACCATGTGTCGCACGTCGTGCACAGCCACAGCACCGCTGCTGTGCTGTTGCGCTTGCCTGCTGCTGTTGTCCATTTTGAGATTTGCGCCCGCGTTTCCATGCAGTTTGGGACACCACAAATTGTTAGTGGTGGGGTTGTGCTTTGTGTGTGCTTTTTGTGTGTGTGCTTTGTGTGTGTGTGTGTGTGTGTGTGTGTGTGTGTGTGTGTGTGTGTGTGTGTGTGTGTGTGTGTGTGTGTGTGTGTGTGTGTGTGTGTGTGTATCCTATCAAATGGATTATCTGAATTTGCCAGAAAATTTGGTTAACCACTATTCAGCTTACACTATTGGAGATGATGAACCTCTGGTATCTGATATGGATTATTTTTCTGTGAAGAGCTTCCCGAAATCATCAAATGATTCTGACCAATTATTTTCTGAAAAATCGGGTGGAGGGTATGAATCCGATTTTGAGTTTCAAATTGAAAATGGGGTATGGGAAAGTGGGTTAAAAAAAGAGCTGAAAATAAGCTTAGAACGTTCTTTTCTCCATGAAAAATATGCCCATTATTTTACTTTGGTTGCAATATCAAAAGATACAGACCCTACCATAGAATTGTTGCCTAATGAGCCCTATGCCCCTTTAGCTGAAAAATTTAGTGTTGGGATATACCGCTATTTCATCTATTGATTTTAGCTCTAGTAGTTCAGAAAACCAAGTTTCCCTCATTCATGAAATGCCCTTTGGGTTTTCAACAAGTTTTTACTC